CGGTTTCAGATTTGTAACTGACGGAAGGTTATCAACAATTTGACACCAATTTTCAGTCGATTAAATCAGTTTTAACCATGTTTTTGGAAAATTTTTGAAAAGTTTCAACTCACTTTTCGTATTTATTGGAACAGATACCCTGACGGCGATTTTAGTTTTGTAACTGGCGGAAGATTATCTAAAATTTGAAACCAGTTTTCGGTTGATTAAGCCAATTTTAACCAATTTTTTTGACAATTTTTGAAAATTTTGGAATCATATTTTACCTTTATTTCAAAAGATGTGTTGAAGACAATTTTGGGTTTGTAACTAGCGGCAGATTATCTACAATGTAACACCAATTTTCGGTCGGTTGAAATGATTTTAACCATTTTTTTGGAAAATTTTTGAAAATTTTGAACTGACTTTTCGTATTTATTGGAACAGATATAGTGACGACGATTTCGGATTTGTAAATGACGCAAGATTATCGACAATTTGACACTAATTTTCGGTCGATTGAACAAATTTTAACCATTTTTTTTGGAAATTTTTTAAAAATTTTGGAATTATGTTTTGCCTTTATTTCAATAGATGTCTTGAAGCTAATTTCGGATTCAGAAGATACTGGCAGAAGATTATCTACAATTTGACATCAATTTTCGGTCGATTGAAATAATATTAACCATTTTGTTTAGAAAATTTTTGAAAATTTTGAATTCATTTTTCGTGTTTAGTGGAATAGATATTCTGACGGTGATTTCAGATTTGTAACTGGCTGAAGGTAATTTAAAATTTGAGACCAATTTTCGGTTGATAGAACCAAATTTAACCAATTTTCTGGACAATTTTTTAAAATTTTGGAATAATATTTTACCTTTATTTCAATAGATATCTTGAAGGCAATTTCGGATTTGTAACTGGCAGAAGATTATCTAAAATTTGAAACCAATTTTCCGTCGATTGAACCAATTTCAACCATTTTTTTGGAAATTTTTTGAAAATTTTGGAATCATATTATATATTTATTTCAATAGATATCGCGAAGGCAATTTCAGATTTGTAACTGACGGAAGATTATCTACAATTTAACACCAATTTTCGGTCGATTTAAATTATTTTAACCATGTTTTTGGCAAATTTTGGAAAATTTTGAGTTCACTTTTCGTATTTATTGCTACAGACATCGTAACGGTAATTTAGGATTTGTTATTGGCGGAAATTTGTTTACAATTTGACACCAATTTTCGGTCGATTGAACCAATTTTAAAAATTTTTTTGGAAAATTTTTGAAAATTTTGAATTCACTTTTCGTGTTTATTGGAACAGATATCCTGACGGCAATTTCAGGTTTGTAACTACGGGAAGATTATCTACAATTTGACACCAAATTTCGGTCGATTGAACCAATTTTAACCACTTTTTTGGAAAATTTTTGAAAATTTTGAACTCACTTTTCGTATTTATTGAAACAGATACCCTGACGGCGATTTTAGTTTTGTAACTGGCGGAAGATTATCTAAAAATTGGAAACAAATTTTCCTTTGATTGAACCAATTTTAACCAATTTTTGGACAATTCTTGAAACTTTGGGAATCATATTTTACCTTTATTTCAATAGATGTCTTGAAGCCTATTTCGAAGTTCTAACTGGCGGAAGATTATTTACACTTTAATACCAATTTTCGGTCGGTTGAAATGATTTTAACCATTTTTTTGGAAAATTTTTGAAAATTTTGAACTTACTTTTCGCATTTATTGGAACAGATATAGTGACGGCGATTTCGGATTTGTAAATGGCGCAAGATTATCTACAATTTGACACTAATTTTCGGTTGATTGAACCACTTTTAACGAATTTTTTGCACAACTTTTGAAAATTTTGGAATCATATTTTACCTTTATTTTCGTTAGATGTCTTGAAGGCAATTTCGGATTTTTAACTGGCGGAAGATTATCTACAATTTAACACCAATTTTCAGTCAATTGAACCACTTTTAACCATCTTTTTGAAAAATTTGGAAAATTTTGAATTCACTTTTCGTGTTTATTGGAACAGACATCCTGACGCCAATTTCAGGTTTGTAACTACCGGAATATTATCTACAATTTGACACCAATTTTCGGTTGATTGAACCAATTTTAACCAATTTTTGGACAATTTTTGAAAATTTGGGAATCATATTTTACCTTTATTTCGATAGATGTCTTGAAGGCAATTTCGGATTTTTAACTGGCGGAAGATTATCCACAATTTAACACCAATTTTCAGTCAATTAAACCACTTTTAACCATGTTTTTGGAAAATTTTGGAAAATTTTGAATTCACTTTTCGTGTTTATTGGAACAGACATCCTGACGGCAATTTCAGGTTTGTAACTACCGGAAGATTATCTACAATTTGACACCAATTTTCGGTTGATTGAACCAATTTTAACCAATTTTTGGACAATTTTTGAAAATTTGGGAATCATATTTTACCTTTATTTCAATAGATGTCTTGAAGCCTATTTCGGAGTTTTAACTGGCGGAAGATTATCTACAATTTAACACCAATTTTCGGTCGGTTGAAATAATTTTAACCTTTTTTTTGGAAAATTTTGGAAAATTTTGAACTTACTTTTCGTATTTATTGGAACAGATATAGTGACGGCGATTTCGGAGTTGTAAATAGTGCTAGATTATCTACAATTTGACACTAATTTTCGGTCGATTGAACAAATTTTAATCATTTTTTTGGAAAATTTTTGAAAATTTTGGAATGATGTTGTGCCTTTGTTTCAATAGATGTCTTGAAGGCAATTTCGGATTCGTAACTGGCAGAAGATTATCTACAATTTGACACCAATTTTCGTTCGATTGAAATAATATTAACAATTTTTTTGGAAAATTTTTGAAAATTTTGAATTCATTTTTCGTGTTTACTGGAATAGATATTCTAACGGTGATTTCAGATTTGTAACTGGCGGAAGATTATCTAAAATTTGAGACCAATTTTCGGTTGATTGAGCCAATTTTAACCAATTTTTTTGACAATTTTTGAAAATTTTGGAATCATATTTTACCTTTATTTCAATAGATGTCTTGAAACCAATTTCGGAATTTTAACTGGAAGAAGATTATCTACAATTTAACACCAATTTTCGGTGTGGTTGAAATGATTTTAACCACTTTTTTGGAAATTTTTTTAAAATTTTGAATATACTTTTTGTATTTATTGGAACAGATATAGTGACGGCGATTTCGGATTTGTAAATGGCGCAAAATTATCTACAATTTGACACTAATTTTTGGTCTATTGAACAAATTTTAACCATTTTTTTGGATTTTTTTTTTTTAATTTTGGAATCATATTTTGCCTTTATTTCGATAGATGTCTTGAAGGCAATTTCGGATTTGTAACTGGCAGAAGATTATCTACAATTTGACATCAATTTTCGGTCAATTGAAATAATATTAACCATTTTTTTGAAATTTTTTTGAAACTTTTGAAATCATTTTTCGTGTTTACTGGAATAGATATTCTGACGGTGATTTCAGATTTGCAACTGGCGGAAGTTAATTTAAAATTTGAGACCAATTTTCGGTTGATAGAACCAAATTTAACCAATTTTTTGGACAATTTTTAAAAAAATTTGGAATCATATTTTACCTTTATTTCAATAGATGTCTTGAAGCCAATTTCGGATTTTTAACTGGCGGAAGATTATCTATAATTTAACACCAATTTTCGGTCGGTTGAAATGATTTTAACAATTTTTTTGGAAAATTTTTGAAAATTTTGAACTTACTTTTCGTATTTTTTGGAACAGATATAGTGACGGCGATTTCGGAGTTGTAAATGGCGCAAGATTATCTACAATTTTACACTAATTTTCGGTCGATTGAACAAATTTTAACAATTTTTTTGGAAAATTTTTGAAAATTTTGAATTAATTTTTCGTGTTTATTGGAATGGATATCCTGACGTCGATTTCAGATTTGTAACTGGTGGAGAATTATCTACGATTTGATACCAATTTTTAGTCGATTGAACCAATTTTAACAATTTTTTTGAAAAATTGAAAAACTAAAAAATTGAAAAAAATTGAAAAATTGAAAAATCGACAAACTAAAAGATCGGAAAAAATTGAAACATTGAAAAAGTAAAAATCGAAAAAATTAATGAATCAGAATATTGGAAAGAAAAAAAAATTAATCGGATCGAAAAATTGGAAAACACAAAAATTGCAAAATCGGCAAACTATGGAATCGTCAAAGTTGTAGAGTCGAAAAACGTAACATTGAAACATCGAAAAATTGAAAAATTAAATGTTGAAAAATTGAAAATTTTACTTGAAAAAATGAAAAAGTTTAAAATCCAAGAATTGAAAAATGGAAAAATTCTAAAATCGCAAAATTGAAAAATTTCACACTGAAAAAGGAAAAATTAAAAGTCAAAACACTGCAAAGCTGAAAACTTGAAAAAAACAAATAATAATCATATTGAAAACATTTTGTTAATAATTTTAGTCTTTGTAACTTTACTTTTCTTTTAAAACCTCTTTTCATTTTATGTGACTTAGCAGCCATATTGATAGAATTCTTGCCTGAATGCCGGTTATGTTCGGTCAGTTTCAGTTATAATTCCAGAAAATATGAACTCACACAGGCCCTATTCACTAAACTAAAAAATCATCTGATAACACATTATAAACCTCCGCCATGACCCACGCTCCCACATTACCACCAAAATTAAAAAATATCTCACGTTGCCATCCGAGATTCTTTTATATTTGTACAAATACAACAGTTATATTTCCTGCTTCCTCCTTAATTACATATTTATGAGCCAACTCGCCGCGAAACTGTTCGAAATTTGCATAACAATGAGCACTGTAGGGACGATTTTCACTAGATAAATTTTCAAAGACAAAGTTTGTGAATCCATAAGCCGCTGATTGCTAAATAAAGCCTATTCCAAACACGCACAACATATGCCAGGAAGCAAAAACGTCCTTTGTTCGCTCTTTACGCGACCACTAATGATCACACAGCAGAAGCTCGGATACGATGCTAACAGACGTTTCTTCTGCATACAGCATCACCGCAATAAGTAAAGCACGAGATGTTAATCGTCTGTTCTTCCAGTATGTTGACCCTGAAGACGTAAATGCACCACTTTCATTCTTGTTTCTAGGAGCTGTGACGGTACTGTCTGCGTTGGCAAATTGCTGTGATTAGTAATAATTCAACGAAGAAGTGAAAAACTTGGGAAAAATCAACTGTGGGTGAATAATTATAATTACCGTGAACTTTCTCTGCAAAGAAGTTTAAATTCCACGGTTAAAACGAAATTTTGAAGTTGTTGTGTAATAATGAAGAGGAATTTTGTTACGCCGCATTAGGCCATCGGTAAAAAATATGTAATTTACGAGGAGCTAAATGCCGTAACAGACGTGTTTAGAAAGTGTTAAAGTGCAACATATTACAAAAATTTAAATAGTACCTTGAGAAAACTTGGTTTTTGATTTTTCTATCAGAAAATAGATCTGGCGAGGATTCAACAGACTGAAACAAGTGGAACGAGATATTTTCTTCTGCTTCGCTAAAGAAACATTTCTTGAGGTCGGAACTCGTTAGAGTACGACTTTTTTTAATTTGCGTAAAATGAATAGTTTCTCCTGAAAAACAGTCATTTCGAAAAGTTGTTCCAACACGTTAAAGATTACAGGGTAAAAACAAGTTAATATTCTTTGAGAAACCCTAATTTTGTTGTGTTTTATCCAAATTGTCCGGAAGAATTTATCTAATCCATGGTACTATTTAATTTTGTTGATTTTTTTTCCAAAAATCTAGATGCTAAGGGTGAAAAGTTAACACGGATTCATAAATCACATATATATAACACGATTACTGAAGAACATATTTCACATGGCAATTTCTCCTAGAAAAATAAGGATTTTAGAATTAAGCTCCGCCCCTCGGCTTACGACGAATAAAAAAATCATCAGAATTGAGATGGGCGGGTGGGCGGGGTTTATATTTTGCCTTTTTTTTCTTAACATATGTAGCCATTTTTTCACAACAAGAAACTGAGAAATATAGATTTTACCACTATGGAGCGGAGCCTAATTGCAAAATCGATATTTTCTTACATAAATTTTCCATTTCATTTAAGTTTCATGTTGTAAAAATAAGTCTACACGTATTAAAACAAAATGACAAAAAGTAAGCCCACCCACCCGCCCTGTCTCAATTGTGATGACCTTTTTATTCGACATGAACCAAGAGGGCGGAGCTTAACTGCAAAATACTTATTTCTTTACCAGAAAATGAAAATTTGAGTATCGTGTTTTTCAAAGAATACTATGTATATTAAGAAAAACAGGCTAAATATAAACCCCGCCCACCCACCCCATCCCAATTGTGATGATTTTTTATTCTTACACTCTTAAAACACGTTCATAATGGCAAATTTTTGTGAGGAAATATGAATTTAGCATTTAGGCTCCGCCCCTAGGTCTGAGAACCAATCAAAACTTTATTACTGTTTAGATCGGGGCAGGTATGGGTGGAGCTTAATCTTTGGTTTTAATTTTTTATTTGAATACATAGTATTCTTTGAATAAGACCACAGTCAAAAACATGTCTTACATGGTAATTTCTTATAGAAAAGTAATAAGGATTTTGCAATTAAATTTCGCCCCTTTGGCTCTCGGCGATTAAAAAAAATCATCACGAACGAGATAGGGTGGGTGGGCGGGGCTTATATTTTGCTTTTTTTCTTAATATAGGCAGTCGTCTTTTCAGAACAAGAAACTTAAAACATGTTTAGAATGATATATTCATCTAGACAAATATGGATCTTGTAATTAAGCCCCGCCCCTCGATCGGATAACGAATGAAAAATTTATCACAATTGAGATAGGGTGGGTGGGCGGGGCTACATTTTGCCTTTTTTTTCTTAACATATATGCAGGGATTTTTTCACAACAAGAAACTGAGAACATGTACGTTGTAAAAATTGTACATTTTTGCAAAGAAATATGAATTTAACAATTATGGGCGGAGCCTAATTGCAAAATCGATATTTTCTAATATAAATTTTTCATTTTAAACATGTTTCAAGTTTCATGTTGTGAAAATAAGTCTACACGTATTAAAACAAAATGACAAAAAGTAAGCCCGCCCACCCGCCCTATCTTAATTGTGATGATTTTTTTATTCGGCATGAACCAAGAGGGCGGAGCTTAACTGCATAATACTTATTTCTTTACCAAAAAAATAAAAATTTGAGTATCGTGTTGTTCAAAGAATACTATGTATATTAAGAAAAACAGGCTAAATATAAACCCCGCCCACCCACCCCATCCCAATTGTGATGATTTTTTTATTCTTACACTCTTAAAACACGTTTAAAATGGCAAATTTTTGTAAGGAAATGTGGATTTTGCATTTAGGCTCTGCCCCTAGGTCTGCGAACCAATGAAAACTTTATTACTGTTTAGATGGGTGGAGCTTAATCTTTGGTTTTAATTTTTTATTTGAATACATAGCATTCTTTGAATAAGACCACAGTCAAAAACATGTCTTATATGTTCATTTCTTGTAGAAAATTAATAAGGATTTTGCAGTTAAATTTTGCCCCTTTGGCTCTCGGCGATTAAAAAAATCACCACAAACGAGATAGGGTGGGTGGGCGGGGCTTCCATTTTGTCTTGTTTCTTAATATACGCAGTCGTATTTTCAAAACAAGAAACTTAAAACATGTTTAAAATGATAAATACTTCTAGACAAATATGGATCTTAATTAAGCCCCGTCCGTCGATCTCACAACGAATGAAAAATTTATTACAATTGAGATAGGGTGGGTGGGCGGGGCTACATTTTGTCGTTTTTTTCTTAATATGTGTAGACTTATTTCGACAACAAGAAACTTAAAACATATCTAAAATGGTAAATTGATCCGCTGGTATCATGGTCAAAATCTTTAGAAATCCACAAATTTTTTAAAAATCACCTTAAAAATGGAGCGAATTTTAAAAAACGTATTAAAAAAACTTCACGAAAAAATTGACTTTTTTGTTTTATAAAAAATTGTTTCCACAGAACGTCCCTCGTACCGAAAGTACAATGAAACATATCCAACATCTTCGAGTTGAGTTTTTACTTGACATAATTTTGGGATGATCTCGTCAACATTTTTGCAAGGATACTCTATAATAAAATAGAGGGTGGGTGGGCGGGGCTAGTACTTGTTAACATAAGATTGATTTTGGTAAATAGCTGAACAATATTAAGAGTAATCACTGGAGTGACGAGAGGGTGGGTGGGCGGGGCTATTGCTGGCTTATATATATTCTGTAGGAAAAAGTTAAACTTAGCCCCGCCCACCCACCCGTTCTGTCATTGTTTTTCTTCAGTAATGAGAAATAAATGTCATAGTAAATAAGGAGTATAACAAAAAAAATACGATTTTGTAGAAGAACATATACTTCAAGATAAAATCGTTAGAAAGAGAATAAAATAGAAGGTGGGTGGGCGGGGCTAAAACTTGAACTAAGAAAGAAGAATTCAGAACGTTCGGTTTTGCAGTCAGATACATATGTGGAAAAGAAGTAATATGTAATAAATTATAATATGAAGTCAGTGAAGGTAACTTTATTACATTATTAATTTAAATTACACTTGCACCTAGTATTTAAATTAATAATTACAAGATTATTTTACTTTTTTAAAAATGAAATCTGCAACAATTTCTCCATATTTTCTAAGCAGAAATTCCAGTACATTTACCTTTCACGATATTGATTTAATATTCGATTTATTTTTCCAGAAATTGAAATGCAACTGCACTTTTTCAAATCTTGTAAATCTATTTGTGGCAATGGAAAGTTTTAGGTTGATGTTTATTTAATTGTTGAAATTTATGCGATTTATTAAATTTCAACAGCTTTGATATTAGTTCATATACCTAGTATTCACATTTATTTTAGCAATTATTATCATTTTTTTACTAAATGTATACTAAAAAATAGGGCTTCGATTAAAATAAATTTGCGACGAGATCGTAAGTCCAACGTCATCAACTAATTTTACCGTTTTATAAGACAATTGTTAATAATAAATTAAACTTGTACTAATGTTAAGTTGGTTCTCAAATTAGTTTTCTCAACTAATGTATTTTATGTATTTAACGTAAAATATATTTTCACGGACTAATTAAACCTCTTTGTTACAGTAGAACATTTAGGAGACGGAATATTTATGACATATAAATTTATTCAAGTAAGTAGCTGTAATTTGAGAAAGAATTTCCTTGATTTTTGTTTTATTAAATCGATTTCATTTTCGTCTCAACTACACTATTTCCGTTGTATCGATTTATTTGCATAGAACAAACGTAAGAATACCACACAATAATTCCATTATATAATAACAATAAAACACATATAGACAAGATAATTACAACAGTCAACCATAAAACTTTCTCACTTCTTTATTTACACTTCGTGAGGTCAAATGTCGCCTAGTAGTCAGCTGTCCATTCACTCAACTTATAATTACCCATTATCAAACCCGGAAAGAACGCGCCCATAAAAATACCATCAGCTTTATTAAATCTTCGCCCTTCAATGAACCTCTATTTACCAACGCAACATCTCGTACACTTTCACAAACTCCTTACACAATCCTCCCTTCTCAAACTCAACTTGTGAACTTTAAAACAATGCATTCAATTACGCGAAAATCGCTCCTGAGCTCGACCAACCCAAATAGCCCAAGATCTGGGTAAAGGCGCTATCGGGGTCAGGCAGACGGTGATTTAACCGCTGGGTCAAGACGGAAACCCTGTCAGGCATTTTTGACTAACCTTCTGGCTTAAAGGCGATGGGTTTTACATCCATATATCGTGGGTGTATCACTTTTTGAATTTGGTTTTGCGCTCACTGGGCCACATTGTTTACGCGACGGAGGTTTTCGGAATTTGCACACACTGATGTCACATAACACACGCGGAGTTGAGGAAATGAGGCACTTTGTTCGATGGCGAAAAAAATTACTATAGAATGCGCTGCCGCACCTGTCGTACTACCTACGTCTACCTCGGGGATCTGTGTAGCGGTGCTTCGGACCTGACCCAGGTGACTGTCCAGGTAAAGCAGTGAATGTCGAGATGGAGTGCAGTGGGTTGGCGATGAGGAAATGGACGGAATGAGTGAGGGACCAGCTATAGAAAAACGAATGGTTGGTTGCATATAGCTTTATTTCGACTTATTGCTGAATGAGCTTCATTTTTTGCTTAATTTATTAAAAACAACACAAAATTAATAATTGAATTAATTATTTTATTAAGTTAATTATGTACAGTGTGTTTGGACTGCTAGTAACAAAAATATTCTTCTTACCTTAAATTAAATAAAAATACTAAAAATTGGTGAGGCGGAGGAGTGGGGACAGATCCTAAAACTGAATTATCGAAAAATTGAAGAAACATTGAAGAACAGGAAAACTGAAGAATCGAAAACCTGAAAAATTACGAAATTGAACGAAAAATCCAAAAAAAGAAAAATAAAAAAATTGAGAAATCGAAAAGTCGAAAAAGCAACGTCGAAAAATTGTAAACTTAAAAAATTGAATAACTGAAAAATCAAAAAATTGAAGAACTGAAGAACTGAAAAATTTAAACTTTCGGAAGTCGGGAAATTTGAAAATAAAAAATAAATTCATTGAGAAATAATTGGAAAACTAAAAATTCAGGAATGTCAAAATTTGAAAAATTAAAATATGAAATATCAAAATACCTAAAACTTAAAAATCGAAAATCCAAAATTTAAAAAATCGAAAAATTGAAGAATAGAAACTTCAAAGAACTGAAAAATCGAAAAATCGAGAAATCGAAAAATGGGGAATTTAAACATTAAAAAATCGAAAATTCAAAAATATAAAATTTAAGAAGTCGAAAAATCTAATTATTGAGAAATCGAAGTTGACCAAAATCGAAAAATCGGAGAATTTTAAATGAAAAGAGAACGATAAATTGAAAAATTGGAAAACTGAAAACTTGAAAAAATGTAAAATCTATTTATATTTCAATTTTGGGCTTTTTCAATTTTATCAATTGTTCAAATTTCGATTTTTTTTGTTATTCGATTTCTCAATTTTCCGATGTTTCAGTGATCCGATTTCTCAATTTTTGTCCTCTTTAATTGTACGATTTTTGAAAATTTCAAATTTTGACGATTCAAAGTTTTCAGTTTCCAATTCCCGAACTACTCTTTTTTTGTTTTCCCATTTCTCGACTTCCCACAGTTTCGATTTTTTCAATTCTTCAATTTTTTCATTTTCAGATTTTCTTATTTTTCAGTTTTTCGATTTTTTAAGCTAAGCTTTTTCGACTTTGTTTTTTTAGTTTTTCGATTTCCGACTTTTCCAATTTTTTAATTTCTCAATTTTTTTGATATTTTTCTTCAGTATTTCTATTTTTCAATTTTTCAAATTTTGACGTTGCTAAATTTTCTCAATTACTCTACTTCTGATTTTCCTATTTCTCGACTTCTCAAAATTTCGATTTTTCAGTTCTTCAATTCTTCAATTTTTCGACTTCGCTTTTTGGTTTTCGATTTCTCAATTTTCCAATTTTTTTTTAATTTCTCAATTTTTGGATATTTCTTTCAACTTTGTGATTTCTCAATATTTCGATTCTTCGACTTTTAGATTTTTCAATTTTCCGAGTTTTTAAATTTTCGATTTTTCAATTTTTTGAATATTCGATTTGTCGAGATTCGGATCTATCGATTTATCAATTTTTCCATTTTTAACTGTTCGATTTTAAAGACTCTTGATCTCGATATTCCTTGTGGTATTTTTCCTTGAGTAAGACACATGTTAAAGATGTCATCTAGTTTTTCTCTGGCTTAATCTCCACTTATTATTTCCGTTAGTAGTTCGTATTTACCGGGTGGTTTGTGATTTTTCATTTACTTCAGCGCCTATTGCACTTCTTTACTTCTTATTTCTAATTAAGATTTTTTTTTAACTCCTGGAAAAGCTTGTCTCCGTTTCACTTCTGTATTTCTATAGCAGTTTGAGTTAATATTTGTCCTTTTCCATTTCTTTTCTTATGCGTTCTTAAGTAACGAGTTTAATTTTTAACTTAATTAAAGACAACACAAAATTAATTGAATTAATTATTTTATTAAATTAATTATATACAATATGTTTGGACTGCCAGAAACAAAAATATTCTTACTTTAAATAAAATAAAAATACAAATAATATTACAATGGTTTTATTAACATCTCATTATTTTCACTTCTTGAATTATTTTTTTGCGAAGAGGCCCATCGTCTTTGTTTTGACGACGTTTCCTTTTTTCCACGGTGGTAACTGGTCCTCGTGCTGGAACCTGTCTTCGAACAATTTTGGTAGCGTTGGGTCCAAACACTCCTCCGGGTCCATTTCTGGTTACGGAAATCAGGAGCCCTGGATTAAGCATCTCTTCTCGGCGTCTTCGTTTCTCCAACACCCTCTGGTCCTTGATGGTCTTCCTCAAAACGGGATCTCCCTGGGCGATGTGTTTCCACAGGTCGTTGGAGCTGATAGCAGTTAGAAGTGAAGAAGGGTCCAAACACCTGAAACAAACACAATATTAGTAAAAAATTTACAACAAAAATTAAAATATGACTTACCTCAAGATGATGGACCAAAGCTCCACGGGTAAATTCGGCAAAGCAAATTCAACGTCGGAGACGAAAGGTAAAATTTTGTACATCTTGGTAAATTTTATCGTGCAAGCAGAGGATAAACTGAATGGGTGGCGGCACGTTGCGGTATATATACCCGATACGCGCTCCCCCTCCACTCGACTAACGATGGAAAGGGAAGCGGAGGAGTGGGGACAGATCCCAAAACTGAATTATCGGAAAAATTGAAGAAACATTGAAGAACAGGAAAACTGAAGAATCGAAACCCTGAAAAATTACGAAATTGAACGAAAAATCCAAAAATTGAAAAATTAAAAAATTGAGAAATCGAAAAGTCGAAAACGCAACGTCGAAAAATTGTAAACTTAAAAAACTGAATAATTGAAAAATCAAAAAATTGAAGAACTGAAGAACTGAAAAATTGAAACTTTGGGAAGTCGGGAAATTTGAAAATAAAAAATAAATTCATTGAGAAATAATTGGAAAACTAAAAATTCAGGAATGTCAAAATTTGACAAATTAAAATATAAAATATCAAAATACCTAAACTTAAAAATCGAAAAGTCAAAATGAAAAACCGAGAAATCGAAAATCTAAAATTTAAAAAATCGAAAAATTGAAGAATAGAGACTTCAAAGAACTGAAAAATCGAAAAATCGAGAAATCGAAAAATGGAGAATTTAAACATTAAAAAATCGAAAATTCAAAAATGTAAAATTTAAGAAGTCGAAAAATCTAATAATTGAGAAATCGAAGTAGACTAAAATCACAAAATCGGAAAATTTTAAATGAAAAGAGAACGATAAATTGAAAAATTGGGAAACTGAAAAATAGAAAAAATGAAAAATCTATTCATATTTCAATTGTGGGCTTTTTCAATTTTATCAATTGTTCAAATTTCAATTTTTTTATTTTTCGATTTCTCAATTTTCCGATGTTTCAGTGATTCGACTTCTCAATTTTTGTCCTGTTCAATTTTACGATTTTTTAAAAATTCAAATTTTGACGATTAAAAATGTTCAGTTTCCGATTTCCGAACTAACCTCTTTTTTTGTTTTCCCATTTCTCGACTTCCCATAGTTTCGATTTTTTCAATTCTTCAATTTTTTCATTTTCAGATTTTCTTATTTTTCAGTTTTTCGATTTTTTAAGCTAAGCTTTTTCGACTTTGTTTTTTTAGTTTTTCGATTTCCGACCTTTCCAATTTTTTAATTTCTCAATTTTTTGGATATTTTTCTTCAATATTTCTATTTTTCAATTTTTCAAATTTTGACGTTGCTAAATTTTCTCAATTAATCTACTTTTGATTTTCCTATTTCTCGACTTCTCAAAATTTCGATTTTTCAGTTCTTCAATTCTTCAATTTTTCGACTTCGCTTTTTTGGTTTTCGATTTCTCAATTTTCCAATTTTTTTTTAATTTCTCAATTTTTGGATATTTCTTTCAACTTTGTGATTTCTCAATATTTCGATTCTTCGACTTTTAGATTTTTCAATTTTCCGAGTTTTTAAATTTTCGATTTTTCAATTTTTTGAATATTCGATTTGTCGAGATTCGGATCTATCGATTTATCAATTTTTCCATTTTTAACTCTTCGATTTTAAAGACTCTTGATCTTGATATTCCTTGTGGTATTTTTCCTTGAGTAAGACACATGTTAAAGATGTCATCTATTTTTTCTCTGGCTTAATTTCCACTTATTATTTCCGTTAGTAGTTCGTATTTACCGGGTGGTTTGTGATTTTTCATTTACTTCAGCGCCTATTGCACTTCTTCACTTCTTATTTATAATTAAGATTTTTTTTTAACCCCTGGAAAAGCTTGTCACCGTTCCACTTCTGTATTTCTATAGCAGTTTGAGTTAATATTTGTCCTTTTCCATTTCTTTTTCTAATGCGTTCTTAAGTAACGAGTTTAATTTTTAGCTTAATTAAAGACAACACAAAATTGATTGACTTAATTATTTTATTAAATTAATTATATACAATGTGTTTGGACCGCCAGTAACAAAAATATTCTTACTTTAAAAAAATAATAAAATACATATTAAAAATATTTACAATGGTTTAATTAACATCTCATTATTTTCACTCCTTGCATTATTTTTTTGCGAAGAGGTCCATCGTCTTTGTTTTGACGACGTTTCCTTTTTTCCACGGTGGTAACTGGTCCTCGTGCGGGAACCTGTCTTCGAACAATTTTGGTACCGTTGGGTCCAAACACTCCTCCGGGTCCATTTCTGGTTACGGAAATCAGGAGCCCTGGATTAAGCATCTCCTCTCGGCGTCTTCGTTTCTCCAACACCCTCTGGTCCTTGATGGTCGTCCTCAAAATAGGATCTCCCTGGGCGATGTGTTTCCACAGGTCGTTGGATCTGGCAGCAGCTAGAAGTGAAGTAGGGTCCAAACACCTGAAACAAACACAATATTAGTAAAAAATTTACAACAAAAATAAAAACATGACTTACCTCAAAATGATGGACCAAAGCTCCACGGGTAAATTTGGCAAAGCAAATTCAACGTCGGGGACGAAAGGTAAAATTTTGTACATCTTGGTAAATTTTATCGTGCAAGCAGAGGATAAACTGAATAGGTGGCGGCACGTTGCGGTATATATACCCGATAGGCGCTCCCCCTCCACTCGACTAACGATGGAAAGGGAAGCGGAGGAGTGGGGACAGAGTGCGGCCGCGGTCAGTTTGAACTATGTTATGTTTTTGGTTGTTTTAATTGTCTTAACATCTGCGAGCTTGTTCCTAAATAAACTGTGGTTGTAATTTCTCGAAATTGATTTAAACTTATCTGTATTTGAAGCAACGATTCTGCAGTCATCTTCGAGCGTTTTCGAGAATAGAAATCTAGTACTAACTATTCTTCTCAAAGACGTGTTAAATAAATCTCGTTCGAAATAGACAAGTTAACATTCCAAATCCAAAAAATTTAACGAAAACAAAAAAAAATAGTTAACACATAAACAACACAGTTTCGAAAGCAGTGATTGTGTTAGTTTAGACTAAAATAAATGTTCAAAATGTGTTCCAATAGTACAATACCTCATAATACAGAACAACAGAATATGGCAGAATTAGATTATAGTGTTTTTTTGTGTTTATAGTTACGATATTGATTTTTTTGTTGCTAAAAAATCTTGATCTTGATATTACTTATGGTATTCTTCCTTGAGTAAGACACATGTTAAAAGTGTCATCTAGTTATTCTCTGGCTTCATTTCCACTTATTTTTTCGGTTAGTAGTTCGTATTTACCGGATGGTTTGTGAATTTTCATTTATTTCAGCCCCAATTGCACTTCTTCACTTCTTATTTGTATTTAAGATTTTTTTTTAACTCCTAGAAAAGCTTGTCTCCGTTCCACTTCTGTATTTCTATAGCAGTTTGGATTAATATTTGTCCTTTTCCATTTCTTTTCTAATGCGTCCTTAAGTAACGAGTTTAATTTTTAGCCTAAATAAAGACAACACAAAATTAATAAAATTAATTATTTTATTAAATTAATTATATACAACATGTTGGGACTGTCAGTAACAAAAATATTCTTACTTAAAATAAAATAAAAATATAAAAAAAATTACAATGGTTTTATTAACATCTCATCATTTTCACTTCTTGAATTATTTTTTTACGAAAAGGTCCAGCGTCTTTGTTTTGACATTTCCTTTTTTCCACGGTGGTAACTGGTCCTCGTGCTAGAACCTGTCTTCGAACAATTTTGGTACCGTTGGGTCCAAACACTCCTCCGGGTCCATTTCTGGTTACGGAAATCAGGAGCCCTGGATTAAGCATCTCCTCTCGGCGTCTTCGTTTCTCCAACACCCTCTGGTCCTTGATGGTCTTCCTCAAAACGGGATCTCCCTGGGCGATGTGTTTCCACAGGTCGTTGGAGCTGACAGCAGTTAGAAGTGAAGAAGGGTCCAAACACCTGAAACAAACACAATATTAGTAAAAAATTACAACAAAAATAAAAATATGACTTACCTCAAGATGACGGCCCAAAGCTCCACGGGTAAATTCGGCAAAACAAATTCAACGTCGGGGACGAAAGGTAAAATTTTGTACATCTTGGTAAATTTTATCGTGCAAGCAGAGGATAAACTGAATGGGTGGCGGCACGTTGCGGTATATATACCCGATACGCGCCCCCCTCCACTCGACTAACGATGGAAAGTGAAGCGGAGGATTGGGGACAGATCCCAAAACTGAATTATCGAAAAACTGAAGAAAAATTGAAGAATAGGGAAACTGAAGAATCGAAAACCTGAAAAATTACGAAATTGAACGAAAAATCCAAAAATTGAAAAATTAAAAAATTGAGAAATCGAAAAGTCGAAAAAGCAACGTCGAAAAATTGTAAACTTAAAAAATTGAATAATTGAAAAATAAAAAAATTGAAGAACTGGAGAACTGAAAAATTGAAACTTTGGGAAGTCGGGAAATTTGAAAATAAAAAATAAATTCATTGAGAAATAATTGGAAAACTAAAAATTCGGGAATGTCAAAATTTGAAAAATTAAAATATAAAATATCAAAATACCTAAAACTTAAAAATCAAAATGAAAAACCGAAAAATCGAAAATCCAAAATTTAAAAAATCGAAAAATTGAAGAATAGAGATTTCAAAGAACAGGAAAATCGAAAAATCGAGAAATCGAAAAATGGAGAATTTAAACATTAAAAAATCGAAAATTCAAAAATGTAAAATTTAAGAAGCCGAAAAATCTAATAATTGAGAAATCGAAGTAGACTAAAATCGAAAAATTGGAAAATTTTAAATGAAAAGAGAACGATAAATTGAAAAATTGAAAAATTGAAAAAATTAAAAATCTATTCATATTTCAATTGTGGCCTTTTTCAATTTTATCAATTGTTCAAATTTCGATTTTTTTTATTTTTCGATTTCTCAATTTTTCGATGTTTCAGTGATCCGATTTCTCAATTTTTGTCCTCTTCAATTTTACGATTTTTTAAAATTTCAAATTTTGACGATTCAACATTTTCAGTTTCCGATTTTCGAACTAACCACTTTTTTTGTTTTCCCATTTCTCGACTTCCCACAGTTTCGATTTTTTCAATTCTTCAATTTTTTCATTTTCAGATTTTCTTATTTTTCGGTTTTTCGATTTTTTAAGCTAAGCACTTTAGACTTTGTTTTTTTAGT